GGTTCTCCGCCCCTGTCTCACACCCCCACCGCGAGAGACGTTTCTTTTTGCTACCCCTGCTCTGTAGAGAAAGAAACCAAGGCCCTGAGCGGAGCTCAGAGACCCGGCTTGAACAGCAAGGGGGGGACCAACCCCAGGAAGCAGGAGACACCTGAACTGTGCTACCACGCGACTTCCTCTGTCTCTTCTCTCACGCTTGCCTCCTGGGCTCCACCTTGCGACTGGGGGAGCTTGAAGCCGTTAGCTGTAGCCGTGCGCACCCTGACCCCGAGCAGCCTTTCCCATCCCAGGAACTGCATCTGTCGCTGCCCTGCCCCCACCCCCTCATCCTGCCCTCTCCGCCTGCCTCACAGCAGCCCCTGGTGGCTTGTAGGCCTCTACGGGCTTGGCAGCCAGCTCCTGTGGCCAGCCAGGCTTCTCTGTGGTTTGAGAGCCACCCTGACTTAAAGTCCCAGCAACCCAGAGGCCTGTCCCTGGCCGAGTGCTGATCTAATGGACAAAAAGGTTGAAATGATGATAACAATGGCCCTCCCCGACAGGCTTTCAGCAGCCCAGCCAATAGTCAGATTAATGTCACTAATGCGGAGGTGGGGTGGGGGGGTGGGAGGTGTGTGTGTCTTCAGTGACACAGCCAGCCCCTCGGGGCTGAGGAGGAGAATGGGCTGATGCTGCTCTGGGGGCCCCAGAGGAAGTCAGCTCCTGTGGTCTACCTAGCCCTGAGGCTACCGGCTCTGTGGGAGGTGAGGGCCGGGAGTCAGTGGCCTCTTGGCAGCTTGCCTAGGGTTAGCCCAAGACCTGCCTGACAATTAGCATTTCCTGAGAAACCTGCAGAGCAGAAATGAGAGCATGGCTCTGCGCCAGAGAACAGAGATTAGGGCCCAGAGCAATCAGGCCTGTAGCAGAAGATTCTGTACTGCCATGCCCTCTGACCCAGGAAATGGTACAAGAAAAGAGAAAGAATGTAGGAAGAGGGGTCAGGACACAATTCAGAGAAGACCAGAACTCCTCAGAGCACAGGAAGTCCACTAGAGATTCACTCGATTTGTGGACAGAGGCCTGGAACTCTCCTAGCTCTGTTCCTCTGAGTCACAGTGACTCTGGGAGCATTCCTGCTCCAGCCTGTGCTTGGGAGTTCTGTGATCCCTTAGTGATGTCTGCCACAGGTGCAGCGTTAGAAAACGTGGCCTGTGTGCTCACCATTCCTACTCTCTGGAAATGCTTTGAACTAGTTAAACAAATTTTTGGCTACTCCTAGAAGGGCCATCTTTTCAATAATTTTTAGTTCTGTTTGTATTGTTTTAAGACAAGTTCTCATTTCACAACCCTGGCTGATCTGGGACTTGCTATGTAAACCAGACTATGTTCAGCCTAGGGACAGTCCTTCTGCCTCTGCCTCCCAAGTCCTGGGATTACAGAAATAAACACTTTTTGGTTAAATTGCCAAAGATATGGAAATTTGCTTTAAAAAATAACAAAGACAGTGTGGTCTTATAATCCCAGCATCTAGGAAGCAGAGTCAAGTATTAAAAGTGCAAAACTAATCCGGGCAGTGGTGGCGCACGCCTTTAAATCCCAGCACTCAGGAGACAGAGGCAGGTGGATCTCTTGAGTTTGAGGCCAGCCTGGTCTACAAAGTGAGTTCCAGGACAACCAAGACTTTTACAGAGAGAAACCCTGTCTTGAAACGCCAAAATAAAAGTACAAAACCAACCTTGGCTACATAATCGGTTGAAGGTCAGCCTAGGCTACAAAAGACCCTATCTCAAATAAAGAGGAAAGGGAAGAAGCTGGTGGTGTAAGAAGTCTGTGGGTCTCACCACTCACAGCTGTTAGTGTGTTTTCTTCTGGTTGTTTGTTTGCCTTTCTTAGCTTTGAGACACAGATTGTCGCAGGCATAGCTACTATTGCTGAGTATTTCCTTCCGCTCCTCCCTCCCGTTGGGCTGTCTCACCTGTTTGTAGTCCTGCAAGGTGCAAGGAAGAGATAGTTACAGTTCAATCCCGAGGAAGGGGCTTGCAGAGTGGAATCTGGTACATGTCTTGGTTGGCTTTTAGTTTTCAAAACCTTACCATGAAAGCCAATTGCAGTGGTGCACACCTATGCCATGTAATCCTCTCTCGTGAAAAGTGGAGGTAGGAGGGTCAGGAGTTCAAGGCCAGCCTGATCAACATAACTGGGGCACTCTGGGGACAGTGCACAGGATGGCCTGGAGGCTGGTAGCTAAGACTGGCCTCTCACGGGAAGCCAGCAGAGCATGACCTGCCTGTCCTATGCAGGCGGTTATTGCTTCCGACAACTGAGGCAGATCTGCCGGGGGAAAGGCAGCCTTTTCTCCACCTTCTCGAATTTGTTGAGTGTGTGTATGTACACATCCTTTTTCCTTGGTGATGGTTAACAGGTTCTTCGGCTGGTGCAGTAAGCCAGATCAAGCTGAACTGAAAAAGCAAAAGGGCAGGTTTATTTGAGCAAAGCAACTCCCGGGTGAGCCCCTCAGGTCCAGAGATCAGGGCCAGAGGAGTCACGTGGCAGAAGTAAAGCTGGCAGCTTACATACCCTGTAGGTGAGGGTGATGATGTGTCTTCCTCAAGGTGGGTTTGTGCCCAAGTATAGTAAAAAACTGACCGCTTGAGGCAGGGTCTTGAGCTACTGGCGACTTCAGGGGAAAAGCTGCTGTAGTCACCAAGAATGCAGAATTGGGTTTTTTGGTGTCTTTTCTCTGTTGGAGATTCTCTGAGAGGGTGGGATTTGGAGAGAGGAATGAGGCTTTCTGGATCAAGCAGGAGTGAGCTGGAGTGGTAAGGGGTGAGTCCAGGGTCTTCAGCATGCTAGGCAGGTGGTGCTCCGTCTCTGAGATATATTCCCTACCCTGCTTTCCACTTTGTAAAATTTGGAGACCCAAAGTTACTTGAGGTGGCCTTGAACTTGTTATCTTCCTACTTCAGCTTCATAAGTAGGCTGTACCACCAGGCTTGGTTTAATGTTTGTTTTGTCTGAATCATTTAAGAGTATGTTACATGCATAATACCAATTTCCTTAGCGCGCACACACACACACACACACACACACACACACACACACACACACACATTTGGTTTTTTGAGACAAGGTTTCCCTGTATTGTTTTGGAGGCTGTCCTAGAACTCACTCTGTAGACCAGGCTGGCCTTGAACTCACGGAGATCCGCCTGCCTCTGCCTCCCAAATGCTGGGATTAAAGGTGTGTGCCACCACTGCCTGGCCAACTTCAACATACTCCTTATATAAAACCAGTAAGTTTAACACATTATTTTTCAAGTGTATCAAATAATATCCCTAATGTCGAGGGGGGGGCATTGTGGCATATGCCTGTAGTCCTAACACTCTAGAAGCTGTGACAAGAGGATTGCCGTGAGACTTCAGAATGAGACACTGTCTCAAAAGAAAAGAATCAAAACAGTAAAATAATAATCAGACCAAAGAGACCGGGAAGAACTGAGCGTGGCCCGTCACCCTTACGTACAATCTCAGCCCTCAGAAGGCAGAGGTAAGGCGATCCAGAGATCACGGTCATCCTTCCTGGCTACATGTGGAGCCTGAACCAAAAACAGACACAGTCAAAACCAGCGTGAGCTGGGGGCAGGACTGGAGCGATGGCTCAGCGTTGAAGAGCACTGGCTGCACTTCCAGAGGACCTGGGAGACACCCAGGGTCCACACGGTAGCTCACAGCCGTCTGAAACTCCAGTCCCAAAGGATCCAGGGCCCTTTTCTGGCCTCCATGGGTACATGGTGCGCAGACAGACGTGCAGACAAAACACCCGTACATAGAAAACAAATCAACATTTAAAATAATAACGGAGCCGGGCGTTGGTGGCGCACGCCTTTAATCCCAGCACTCGGGAGGCAGAGGCAGGCGGATCTCTGTGAGTTCGAGGCCAGCCTGGTCTACAGAGTGAGTTCCAGGACAGCCTCCAAAACAATGCAGAGAAACCCTGTCTCGAAAAACCAAAAGAAATAAAATAAAATAAAATAAAATAATAATAACGGAAAAGGAAGGGGGAGGGGCCACCCAAGCCTTGGCACTAGGCTTTAAAGATGCGGGAAGCAGGATTGGGCGTACGAGGTAAGGGGCAGGGCTAAACAGCTCACACAGTGATCCCACGTCTGAACAACATCCCAGTGGGATCCCTCGGGAGCGCGTGTACCTGTGAGTGACCATCTCACTGTGTTACCCAGGCTTCCTTTCTATTCCTGGACCAAATATCCCCCTGCCTCCGCCTCCTAAGTTGCTGGGAAAGTAGGCACATGCCACCAAAGCCTAACTAATACCTTGTGTTTATTTGAGTCCAAACGGACCTACCTCTGGATTTTTCTGCCCAGCCTCTGCCACCGCACCTGTTGATAAGTAGCTTTTCATGTCCGTTTCTTTCACCGGAGGTAATGCTGTTGAGGTTCATTTGCGGTGTTCCTTCTTCTGGCTGAGTAATATTTCCACCACACAGCTATGCTGCGCGCTGTGCGTTCCCCTGTCAGCCGGTGGCATCTGGGTGGCCTCCAGGTTGTGGTTGTCATAGATACCACTGCTGAGCATGCTGCTGGCGAGTGAGTGTCAAGTGGATCCAGGTCTGCATTTCTCTCGGGGATGTGTCTAGGAATAGCACTGATGGGTCACGTGGTACCTCTTAGCATCTAAGTTCCGAGGAACTGCCAGGCCATCTTCAGAAAGGGCTGTACCGCACTAGCCCCTGCAGCTGCATGGGAAGGAAGATGCCCACACTAAGCACCTGCTGGGCACCAGGCCAGACCGTTCTGTGGTCCTCAGCCTGTGAAACATCATTACATCCTCCCCTGTGCCAAGGAGGACGGGAAGGTTCCGAAAAGTGAGGGGATTCCCCGGGGTCACACGGGGTGTGGGAAGATATGCCCCTCACATTGTCCTGCTCACTCAGCGATGACTGACTGACTGAGGAGCTAACGTCGTCCTTGAGGTCTCCTCTCCAACGCCTGTGACACTGTTTTGCAGACAGGAAAGTTGGACCCTCACTACCCCAAGGTCTGCGGGCACAGAGGGAATGTCTTGGACATCAAATGGAATCCTTTTGATGACTTTGAGATTGCCTCCTGTTCCGAAGATGCCACGGTGAGTGCCAGTGCAGTGTTTACAGAAGAACGCTAAGAATGCTGGGAGGAAGATGGAGGGCAGGCTCTCAAGCCGTGGGTGTCCGGGCCTGCCTTTATCTCACTGATGGCTTCCAGGGAGGAAGTGAGAGACGGAGGAAACGTCCTGCCTGTGTGGGACCTGGGCCCATGATGCCTCTCAATGGGCCTCAGTTTCCCTCCCAAAAAATGGGTGAAATACTTCTACCCATCTCATGAGGACCCAGTGAGACTCATTCTCTGTGAGGTGCTGTGAGGGGACCAGAAAAGATCAGGCCACTCCATAGCGAATGAATGTAGGACAAGGGAGGGGCTTATACGAACATAGACCCGAAACACCCCAAGAGGCCGAGTCCGCTAACTCTCTGTGTTACTGGGGGTGATCTCAAACTCCCAGATTCAAGCGATCCTCCTGCCCTGGCCTGAAAAGCAGGGAGTACAGCCATCTTTGCGGCCTCCTGACGCCTGCCCTTTCAGGCCTGAAGATCCCTCGGAAGATTTGGGGGTGGGGCAGAAATGGGAGTGTTTTGTTGCAGCTGTTTAATTGGGAGGGGTGTGTGTTGAGATGGGATTTCACAACGGAGCCCAGGCTGACCCCAAACTTGCGATCCTGCCACTGTAGACCCCCTGGTGCTGGGCTCACAGGTGTGCGCCACCATACCCTGCCGGGTCTTCCTGAAAGGCTCTGGCCCGCTGCTGTCCCTCTGGATGCCGGAGAATAAGGGGGACAGGATAAGGGAGCCTAGGGTGGCAACAGGTGTAGTCCGTGTAAATGCATTGCTCGATGCTCCTCCTCCCCGGCCTAGGGTAGGTGCCACCTCCTTCAGCACACCCCACCCCTCCATTAATAAGCCCAGAGCCTGTCTCCCTTCAGCCCCCCCCCCCAGGCTCACCTCTGTGTATGCTGCAGATGGAGCGAGCAGAGTTCATGACCTGATATCAACACCAAAACCAGGAAATAACTGTCCCTGAGCTGCAAGCAAAGCCTCCTGGGAAACCTGCGTATCTTTAGGATACGATCTGAACCCTGACTTGGAGCCTGAGAACCCAACAGAATGGAAGGAGTATGGGCACCGTACTTCCTGGTCCCCGTGTCCCCATGTCCCCGTGTCCCTATGCTGCTCTCCCGGTGGCTCCTTCCATCACAGAAACCTTGCCCTTTACCATGGCAGTCCCTTCCATCTTCAGCCCACCCTGACTGCTCGCCTCAGGTCATGGGGATGGTCAGACTCCCTGGGGCAGGTTTGAGAATGAAGCCCCCTTCTGACCAAGGTCAGCCCTGCTTGGCAGAGGACCCTGGGGAGGCTGCAGTCTTCCCTCCACCAGGCAGTGGTGGCAACGGAGAACCACGGGGTCCTTCTGCCAGGCACTTCCTGATCCGTGACTGAGGACAGTAACCGCCTCAAGATGTCCCGGCTCACTCTCCTGTCTGTGTCTCCCCCCTGCCCCAGATTAAGATTTGGAAGATCCCCAAGCAGTTGTTGGCAAGGAACCTCACAACCTACAGGAAGGAGCTGGTGGGTCACTCACGCAGGGTGGGGCTGGTGGAGTGGCACCCCACGGCTGCCAACATCCTCTTCAGCGCTGGCTATGACTACAAGGTGAGTCTGAGGCTCCTGGGCAGAGGAAACACAGACTGGCACTTGTCTAGAAGCTTCTCTGACAGCCCTGTAGACTAGAAAGACCCAGGCAAGGTGTTGACAGCCTACTGCCTCCACAGGCCCGGGGAAGCATCTTCCACACCCCTCTGTCGCCGTGGTCTCTGCCTTCCCAGCTGTGTCCCCAATGGCCTCGCCTCCTCTCACTTACAGTTAGATCGAGAACCCTCCTTCATTTGCCGTGACCTTGCGTCAGCTAACTACATCTGCTAAGACCTTGTTGCCAAATATCCCATTTGAGGCTCTAGGGAGACAATAAGGCATGCTTCAATCCGCCCACTGCAGTTTGCCTCGGGGGCTGGGCTGCACCACCAGACATGGGCCTTGGAACCAGCACTGGAGACTAGGGACCTGTTGCAGCTCATCGATGACTTGTGTGGGAATGTCCCATGATTCTCCTTGGGTTGGGTCTTACTTTCTTGAGCCCCAGACTGCAGACAGAGTGGGTTGATAGAACCATTGCAATGGTTTTCCAACTCGCCCTCTGCTGACTCCACTGAGATTCGCAGAGGCGCCTCGGGAACATTTCAGATAGATCCAAAACAGGCAGAAGCTGTCGGAAGGTTCTGGTCAGAAATGCTTGTGTCTCTGTTGAAGTGGAGAGTGTGTGTGGCTATGTTCCTGGGGATGCTACTACCTTAGTCTTTGACTACGGGTTCCTTTGGCAGCCCTGGTTATGCACAGAAAGTGGGCTGTGCTGTCCCTGACTGACCCCTACGCCCCAGGCCCTCCCTATAAGACAGCCTCACTCCCAGCATCCCCTTACAGCCTCGGCCACACCCCTCACATTCAGTGGCCTGGCTGCCAGCTGCATCTTCCCTCCTGGGAATACTGTGTTTCTCCCCGTGCCTGCTGCTGTGTGACTGAGGGGACTCTGGGGAGTGGCCACTGTGCTCAGTGCCAGCACTCTGCCACACAGGTGATGGTGTGGAACCTGGATACAAAGGAGTCTGTAATTGCAAACCCCATGAGGACAATCACCTGTCACCAAGACGTGATCCTCTCCATGTCCTTCAACACCAACGGCAGCCTGCTGGCCACCACCTGCAAGGACCGCAAGATTCGGGTTGTGGACCCCCGAGTGGGGATTGTCCTCCAGGTTGGTACTGGGCCAAGGTTTGGAGCTACTTTAAGAATGGGGTGACAGCCCTGTAAGCCTCAGCGTCTGGAGGCAGCATCCCTGGCCGGCCTCAGCATCATGGGCCTGTGGAGGGTGTTGAGATTTGCTGTGTTCACTCTACAGATGAGAGAGGAAATGACTATGTAGAGAGGTGGTCTGTGAACGTATTCTGACCTCAGAGCTGGCCATGGTGCCTCAGCTCTGTCCCCGGCCAGGGGTCAGGAGCCACCTTAGGCCAGCACTTTCTGCTTCCTGAACCTCTGTTTGCTCAGAAGTGCAATGGATCGTTTTTTCCTTCCTCACTGGAGCTAACAGGACAATTCAGGTGTCCTCTGTGTCCCTGCCTCACACAGGGCAAGTGCTCGCTATGGTTCTCAAGAGAGGAGTGGAGCAGGGTATTGTGGCACGTGTTGTAATCCCAAGATAGGAGGAGTGAGGATTCAAGGCAGTCTGGGCTACACCCTGAGGCCCCGCCTCAAACAGAGAGTGGACAGGGCGTAGGTTGGTTTTATTCAGAAGCAGCTCTCAATAGAATGGGGAATTTTCCCTTGAAGGAAAGGACTTAGGACAGCCTCCTGAAAGAGGTGTGCCAAGTGGTTCCACGGGTCATGGAAGGAGGTCTTACAACCAGGGCTGCAGGAGCCACGCGGGGAGCCAGGAATCCCACCCGCAGCTGGGAGTCCCCTCCCCACAGCTCCCCGACACTGACCACACGTATTCCTCCAGGAAGCCAGCTACAAGGGGCACCGGGCCAACAAAGTGCTGTTCCTGGGGAACCTCAAGAAGCTGCTATCCACGGGCACATCCAGATGGAACAACCGGCAAATGGCCCTGTGGGACCAGGTGAGTGTCCCCACAGGCTCGCGGTCACTGCAGCCCAGCACAGCCTCACGCTCGCTTGCGGTCGGTCAGCAGGCAGCAGGGCTGGGGCTGGGAGTGAGTCACAGAGAGGGGACAGTCCATCAGGGCAGCGGGCCTTGTGCGTTTCACCATTGGGTAGAGAGGTGAGGGACCACGGGAGGCCCTGGGGAGGGGCCAGAGCTGGAGAGCAAGCAAGTGCGGACAGCGCCCCCTGTGGGTGGAGGGTGAGCTGTGCTGTCCTGTTAGGTGTCTTGCAGTGCTAAGGACAGAATGCAGGGCCCCCCACCTGCTAGGCAAAGCCATGTCTCCTTCATTTGTTAAACTTAGCTTGGAGGTGAAGGCAGGAGGATCCAGAGTTCAAGGTCATCCTTTCCTGCATGTTAAGTTCAACTATGGCATGTGAAAGTTTCTTTCCTGGAGAGGCTTAGGTACAGGGACAAGAATTCAAGGCCAGCCTCAAACCACCTCCCAGTTTTCAATTTTAAGAGACTTGTAGGTGCAGCTCGGTGGCAGAGTGTTTCCCCACTATCATGAGACCCTGGGTTTGATTTTCAGAACTGTTTTGGGTTCAAGGCTGGCATAGACCACAGAGTGAAACCCTATCTCAAAAAAAGTTTGAAAAGGCGTGTTAAGGCCAGGTGGTTGTGGCTGCAGCGCATGCCTGTAATCCCAGCACTCAGGAGGCAGAGGCCAGCCTGGTCTACAGAGCGAGTTCCAGGACAGCCTCGAAAACAATGCAGAGAAACCCTGTCTCACCGGGCATTGGTGGCGCACGCCTTTAATCCCAGCACTCGGGAGGCAGAGGCAGGCGGATCTCTGTGAGTTCAAAGTCAGCCTGGTCTACAGAGCGAGTTCCAGGACAGCCTCCAAAACAATACAGAGAAACCCTGTCTTGTAAAACCAAAAGAAAAAAGAAAAACAAAAGACTTAAGAGCAACGATGCTGACAACAAGAATGGTTCAGGGCCTAAGAGCGCTCGCTGGTTTTTGCAGAGGACCAGGGGTTGGTTCCTCGCACCTGTGAGGCAGCTCACAACTGTAACTCCATAAATAAATAAAATAAACTTTTTATAAAAGGCTGACAAAATGGGGCAGGCAGTACTGCCTTTAAAATATCATTTCTACCAGAGAATAGTTCACAAACCGGGTCTTGAGAACCAGGATATCTTTCCAAAACATGTACATAGAGCAGAAAAGCAAGGTTTCTTTTTCTTTTTTTAAAGATGTATTTATTATGTATATAGTTTTCTGTCTGCATGCATGCCTGCAGGCCAGAAGAGGGCTCCAGATCTCATTACAGATGGTTGTGATCCACCATGTAGTTGCTGGGAATTGAACTCAGGACCTCTGGAAGAACAGCCAGTGCTCTTACCCTCTGAGCCACCTCTGCAGCCCCAAAAAAGCAAGCTTTCTGTCTCACATAACAGCCCACACTCAGAGCCCAGGGCAGCCGTTCGAATCGCAGCTCCACTGGAGACTCCGGAGTGGCGCTCATGTCTTGATGGTGTCCCTTCCCTTGCAGGACAACCTTTCTATGCCCCTCACTGAGGAGGACCTGGATGGCTCCTCGGGTGTGTTGTTTCCCTTCTACGACTCAGACACCAGCATGCTGTACATCGTGGGGAAGGTCAGCCTGGCACCGGCGGCGGGGGGGTGGGGGGGTGGGGGGGGTGGGGCGGGGTCAGCCCTTTGGACTCCCGATACAGGAGGTAGAAATACTCTAAGCTTTGCTCTGCGGATGCTCAGAAAACAACCTAGGGTCCTTGGAGGTTCCGGGTAGAGATAGGCACTAGAGGCTAGCCTCTTCTATGAGCGAATACCTGCCCCTCCCTTGCTAGCTCCTTAGGGCTTTGGTGTGACCCCCACCCACCCTAGCTTGTTCCTCCAAAATTCCTGGTCCAGGTGGTAGTTCTCAACAGGGGAGTCTTTGGATTTGAGGCCGAACAGATCTACATGGGTGGGGGTGTGTTATATCTAGAGCCTTCATTCTCTGCTCAGTATGCCAGTAATGGCTCTGTCAATGAGAAATGTCCCCAGGGCTAAGAGCCATAGGATGATCTCTGAGGCCAGACATCCTGACTTTCCCAGTGGCTGTCGCATGGAGTTGTTCCCAGGGCGTCTACACTAGAGGAACGTGGGTGGGCTAGCATTGTTAGTCCCTGGTGTCCCTGTAAGAGATGCGTTCATCAGCGATCCACTCTGAAAGCCAGGGCCTTGCTACTCCCTCATGGGGGCCAGTGAGACACTGATGGCCCAGAGATGACCCTCCTGGTTCCCCTCCCCAGGGAGATGGGAACATCCGATACTATGAGGTGAACACTGAGAAGCCTTACCTGAGCTACCTGACTGAGTACCGCTCCTACAACCCACAGAAGGGGATCGGTGAGTGGGACTCCGAAGACATGTAGGGTCAGGGCACCAGGGCAGGGCCTTGGCACTGGAAGACATCAGACAGGAAGGGGATGGCAAGGGGCACTAATGCGTGGGCTGTATCCATCTGTCTCCTGATGCCTGTGTCAGCACCCCAGACTGCATGAGTTATGACAAGCAGGGCGTGCTGGGGCTCTGGGCTCTGCAGACTGAGAGACTGCATCGGGTGGCGCCTCTTGTATCGCCAGATTCCTAGGACAGTGCAAGGCATTTGGCAGATGGAAGAGGATCAGGATCAGGAGTTCAAGGTCACCTTCATCTGTATAACAAGCTGGAGGCTGTGACAGGCTTATGTGGGACCTTGTGTCAAATAAACAAAAGGAAGAAAAGAAAAGGGACTGGAGTGGCCGTATTAGGGGCATCTTAGGAAGCCAGGTGTAGAGACGCGGCTCTGTAATTCTAGACCTGAGTAGCTGGAGATTGTGGCCAGCCTGGACTGTATACCAGTAAGACCTTCCCTCAAATACAAACTAGCCGGGTGTTGGTGGTGCACGCCTTTAATCCCAGCACTTGGGAGGCAGAGGCCCACGGATCTCTGTGAGTTCGAGGCCAGCCTGGTCTACAAGAGCTAGTTCCAGGACAGCCTCCAAAGCCACAGAGAAACCCTGTCTCGAAAAACCAAAAAAAAAAAAAAAAAGACAAACTAATGAGGCTTGTTGTGGTGGTACACAGCTGCAATCTGAACACAAGAGACGAAAGCGGGAGGGTCAGAGGTTCAAGGCCATTCTCCGATACATAGCCAGTTTGAGGCCAGCCTTGGTTCCGTGAGATCCTGTCTCAAAAATAAATAAAATAGACAATAAGCTTTTAGGTTCCAGGCCTGTGAGGACAGAAGTGGGGAGCTTTGAGTAGAGCAGACCATCTCCAGGGTCCAGCTAGAATAATTAAACCTTGGAGCTGGAGAGATGCTCGGTGGTTAAGAGCACTGACTGCTCTTCCAGAGGACCGGGATTCAATTCCCGGCAACCACACAGGAGTGTGTCCTCAAAACCGTCTGTAACTCCAGTCCAGAGGACCTGTCATGTCACACAGACATACATGCAGGAAACACAATATTGCACATAAAATAAAAATAAATAAACCTTAGAAAAATATTTAAACCCTGAAGGTAGAGGCAGTGCCTAGTTGTGGGATTCCCTCCGCTGTTTCCCAGCTCAGGGCATCCCTGCACAGGTGATGTTTGGGAGCTTGGCTGAGGGGGATGATGGGGGACAGCACTCTCTGATCACAGGTGTGCCTCTGTCCTACCTGCTGGGTCTCGGCTGTAGCCCAGCCAGGACCTCTCATCTGTCCTTGGCCATCTGGCCACAGGTGTCATGCCAAAGAGAGGTCTCGATGTGTCTTCCTGCGAGGTCTTCCGCTTCTACAAGCTGATCACCACCAAAAGCCTCATTGAGCCCGTATCCATGATTGTGCCCCGGAGGGTAAGTGTGGGGAGGGGCTGTCTGGGGGATACCTACCTAGAAGAACACAGACCCCAGATGCTGGGATCCCAGGCCCATGCTGTGGGGGCATGGCTGAGGGTGGCTTTTGCAAGGGAACGACTCTGGGGCTGGGAACGCTGGATCTCGTCTGCCCCTGAGCGGCTGTACCCGCGGAGAGCCCTTGTTTGCTGGCCCGGTCTGCTCCTTGCTCAGTGGGGATGAGGAGAGCCAGACTCCAAGGCTCAGCACTGCCCTCGCTGTCCCCACTCCTCCTGCAGTCAGAATCCTACCAAGAGGACATCTACCCGCCCACGGCAGCAGCCCAGCCCTCCCTGGCAGCCCACGAGTGGCTCGGCGGGATGAACAGAGGTGAGTGTGATGGGGAACAGGGCCACTGGGTAGGGAAGTGGAGTCCCAGAGGTCCCAGGTAGCTCAGGGGTTTAGCCTGGATTTTTATTTGGCTGTGCCATAGAGGAGAGCCCCTTGTTAGTCAGCTCCCAGTAATTATTTATATATAATGCTGGGAAAGCAAAGGCTTCACCACCTAGTCCCTAAACTCCTGGTCAAAAGATGTCACTCTGTAGAAAATTCGCCGCTGTGACTATGCGAAGTATCTGGTGACTTACCCGCATTGCTCCCGACCCTCACCATTTCCTCCGTGATTATTCTGTGACCCAGGATTCTCTAGGCAAGGCACCACTGTCCGTCCCGACTCTGCCCGGCTGCTGGGCAGGCTCCCTCCATACCTCACAGCACCCCCACTTCATCTCATGCATCCCGGGAGCATGGGAGACCTCTTACTGCAGTGTCACTTGACAGCTATGTGCGACCCTTAGGCAGCCCCGGCTCTCCCGCCCCTCCCCAGTCTCCTCTCTGAGTCTGCAAGACTTTTCCTGAAGATGTCAGAAAAATGACTGTGCTTAATAGGTGGCAGAAGACACTGTCGGTAGGTCTCTCCTTACAAAACAACGCCAAGGCCAGGCAGGGAGAGTTGAGACAGGAAGATTGTGGGTTCAGGGCCACCCAAAACTACGGAGTCGGGCCCTGTCTAGGGATAGCAGGGAGAGAGCAAGCACATGGTGCATTTGAAGAGCTCAGGCACCTGAGGGCCACGCCAGTGTGTGCTATGCCGTTCCTACATGCTAGCTTCCCTTCCCTACACATGGGCTACACGTGTTGGTACCTGATGGCCCTGGCATGGGTCCCATGCCTGTCTACAGAGGTGTGCCTGTAGTGCCTGCCCTCCCCCATGCCCTCCCCCATGCCCGTCTATCCATGCCCACTTAGCCCTCTTTACAGCCTTCTGTTTCCCTTACAGAGCCCATCATGATGTCCCTTAGGCCCGGCTCTGAACTTCTGGACTCCCAGCCACTGCCTCCAGAGAAACCTTTCTCCAATTTTATGGTCCGCGTTTCACCCCGGCCCCTGGAACACATGGTGCAGCTGGGGACAAACGACGGCCATGCACCCTGCTCTCTGCTGGAGGAGAAGGCTCCAAAGTGGGCCACAGAGCAGCGGCTGGAGGAGAGGTCATGGCTCACCAATGGCTTTGATATTTTCGAATGTCCCCCACCAAAGACAGAAAATGAGGTTGGAGGGGAGAGGGGCCTGCAGGAGGGGCGAGCATGGTGGGCTGGGGGCGGGGGATGAGGACGGGAGAGCAGCCTCCTGCACTTGGCAGATCTAGTCACCTCATGGGCTGTGAGCAGTGGCCACACACGAAGGTGATGCTAGGGCATACAGTGGCGGGACAGTCTGTGACATGCAGAAGACATGGCGTGGTGCCATTATGCCCTGGGACAGACACGCTGGGATTTTGAGGTCTGGTTTTAGGGCTAGGGTGTGTCAAGCATCTGCTGTATGCCAGGCTGGTGTAATAGTTACTTCCATACAGCTGTGGTCAAAAGGCTTCAGCTTTAATTCCCAGTGCCACCCTCAGAGATGTCACAGACATTTGAGGAGACAGCAGAGACCCTCAGGGTGCGCCCAGCATCTAATGTGTTTGGTGCAGGGGTAGCAATCATGATAAGGGTTAGCTTTCACTTCCCAACGGAGAAAACCGACTCTTGGGGCAGGTGAGGTAACCTGCTTGTATTAGCGGCTCTTTGTTGTTGCTGTGACAAAATACTTGACAAAGGCAATCTAAACGACGTTTATTTGGGCTCAAAGTTCCAGGGCACAGCCTCTCGTGGTGAGGAAGGCATGGCAGCAGGAGCTTAGGACAGCGGGTCACATTGCCACCGCAGTCAGAGGCAGAGAATGCTGGCACTCAGCTTACTTTCTCATTCCCATTCAGTCCAGGACCCCAGCTCGGGGGATGATGCCACCCACACGTGGGATTCGTCTTCCTCTCTCAGTAAACTAGAGGCTCCACTGATAATGTTAACCGCACAGTCCAGTGTCGGTGAAAACCCAAGTTTCAGTACTTTAGGCCCAAATACCCTTTGCTCTATCCCTCGGGAACTTGGAAAGGAGACACGGGACACAAACAAATCTGTCTGAACTTCATTTATTGGAAAAAGCGAGCAAGGATTTTGTGACAGAGCCAAGCGATGTCTGTCCCTTGATAATTTACCTGCTCTCACGTCGGGATTGGGGCTTACCCTTTGTGCTGTTGCCCACCCTGGCCACCCAGGTGACCTTGCCCTCTGCCCTGTGCCTCCCCAGCTGCTGCAGATGTTTTACCGGCAACAGGAGGAGATCCGGAGGCTCCGGGAGCTGTTGATCCAGAGAGAGGTCCAGACCAAGCAGCTGGAATTGGAGATCAAAAACCTGCGCATGGGCTTAGGACAGTTCTGAGCAGAGGTCTCCGCCATCCTCGCCCTCAGGGACAACACCAGGCTCTGTGGGGAGGTCCAGAACCAAACCACAGGTCCCCGAGAACAACCACTATTTCTATATTTTATACCAGAAAACAAAACTCTCAGTCGCTGAAAGAGATCTCAGTGGGACAAGGTGCCGCTTCCCTGTTACCTTCGCACAGCTGCAGTCTCTGCCCTGACTGCTTCTGCTGAATTCTGGTTTTAAGGGTTGGTGAGGAACTGTGTCCTCCCAGAGGGTGAAAAGCTTGGTAGAAAGATCTGGAAGGACTGGGTAGGTCAACCTGCCTGCGGTTTGCAACTCTGGCCATAGAGTAGGAGGTGGTTTTGGTCCGTGGGCTTGATCTTAGCAGATGCCCCCCCCCATCTCCATCAGCCCACTTTGGAATATAGACTTTGACTGCTAGATTATCTTTTAGAAGCTTGAAAACCACTGACCTGGCTTAATTCCCTCATTGTATAAGCGAGGAAACTGAGGCCCAGAGAGAGACACTGTGATCTGTTTCCTGGTAGGGCTGGACTGGGATCCTGTCCTTCTGGGTCTGTCCGTCAGCGCTGTTCTCAGTCACCCCCCCCCAGTTAGGAATCCATTGGTTCTGACCTCAGCTGTGTCCCCGCTGACCTGGTGACTGACCTCTTACCAAACGCCTCTCTCTCTGATCTCAGCTTTTCCATCCCAACAAGGGCAGAGTTCCAGTGGGCTGCCTGCTCTGTGGCCTGCCACCAAATACTTGATTTCCACCATGCCTGTGGTTTGCTGACCTGGGCTTAATGTAGACACTCACACCTGTGTGTGGGGCTCAATCTAAGAGGAATGAGTGAAGATTTGGCCCAATTCTAAACCACAGACAGGTGGCCAATCCCATCCTTCCAACCAGAATCAGCCGGATGGGGGTAGACAGTTCCATAGGTAGGGACACCGACCTCTGAGCTGTGTCCATGTCTGTTGACTCCAGAGCCTGCCACCTCCCGGAGAGCAGACAGACCTTCCACCCAGGCTATCAAAGGCCTCTGAGAGTAGGGGGACCCCAGCACTGGAGGTGACCAAGCCCGGTGGCCCCCCACCAGGAAGGGCTCTGGTTGACTGCACTAGGTGGGAAGTGGAACTGGATAGCTTCTGTTTGGAAAGTCTGTGCCCCTCCCTTGTGTGTCCTGTGTCCTGTCTGAGGCTCTCTCTCTTGGTGGTCAGTGCAGCAGCCCAGCTAGTGCCTAAGAAGAACTGAGACAAAGCTTGCTTCCAAAACTTACCACACACACACACACACACACACACACACACACACACACACACTCCCCTCTGGACAGGCGGACAGTGTTTTCCCCATCACACAGGGTCACTCTGGAGCTCACGTGGGAATTGCAGGAACCACTCATGTCATCTATTAGCGTCCCTCTAGATAGACATACTGATGACCAGACCCCACTCATCGAAGCCTGCTCTTCAATGGAAAGTGTGGTCCTCTGGACAAACTGCCCGGGCGACTTCAGAACAATGGGATGGAGACACGTCTGGCTAGTCTCCTGTATCTGCACTGGTGATGAATGTAGGACACTCCCAAGACTCTCACATGACCCTGCCCCTCGCTGTCACTGGTATCTGCACACACCAGAGTCCTGGTTCCTTGGTTTATTCTCTACTCAGCAATCACTAGCCTAGGATTCTATCCCCAGTGATGAGCCGGCTCTGCTGGCCTTATCTGTGCTCCTGAGAAAAAGGCTGAGTCCCAGGCATTGGTGGGGAACTGGAGCTCCTGGGTTGGGGCTCTCTCATGGTGACAGTACCTCATATTTGTAAGGCTCCCACCCCCACCTCCAACCCCATGTTCAGAAGGCAGGACAGACTCAGAGCGATGACACCAGTCTAACGCCACTGGCTGCCACCTGTGTGTGACTGGGGGTGGGGTCTCCAGAGCTTCCCATCATGTCTCTGTACAACGTCTCCCCCCACTCCCAAGAAAAGCTCTCCCCAGTGTAAGGGACCTAGACGCAGACCTCACATTCAAGAACAGGTCACAGGCGGCTATGAACAATTTTATTTGTTGCTTTTTTGTGTTGGTTTTTTTTAACTCTAGAATAAATTATTTAAATTATTTCACAGCAAGGGAGAGGGATAGGTAATTTTTATCAGATATTTTTTAAGTCATCTTTTTTTTTTGAGATTGTGTTTTTATGTTCTTGAGTTGATGGAGCAACAGTGCCCGCGAAGGCGGCGTCTGCCCAGGGGCATAGCAGCCCTCGCCTCTCTAGTTCAAGCCTTGGGAACTCCCTTTCTGTTGACTCAGGAACTTTGTGTGGATGAGGAGAGTGTTTGGAGATGAACAATTGGCTGGTACCCACCTTAGCTCTAGAATAATTCTGCTTCCTAGAACAAAACTTGAGGGCATGCCCTAGAGGGAAACAGGAAGTGAGAAATCTACGCTTTTCATATGAAACCGTGCCTGAAGCCTTTGAATGGTTGTTCTAATATTTCTTAAATTCCTTGTACCTTTGTAAAAAAATAAATAAATAAAAGTTAAAATAGATGCAGAATTATGCAATGGAAGAATATAGCAATCAACACTGGGTGGTAATTTCTCCTGTAATCCCAGCGCTTGGAAGGCTGAGGCAGAAGGATTGAGTTTCAGTACAGCCTGGACAAAGAGCGTGAGACCCTGCCTCAACCAAAATAATAATAATAAAACACCAAGCCCAATATTGGAATGCATGGAGATTTCCTTTTGTTAATTCGTTCTACAAGTACCAATTTAGCAGCGGGTGTTTGGACCAGACACCCCAGCTGGCAAACTGGCAGTAAGTGTTATCAGTCGTGGTTAAGAGAATGTGGGGCCAGGATGGGGCATCGTGGTCAGGCTGCTCTGGAAAAGTGAGGCTTCCGGGAGGAGGAGATAAGCCGAAACACCAAGTGGCAGTGAGCAGCAGCTATACCCCAAGCAGAGAACCACGTGTTCCTCAGGCTGGAAACATCGGGTGAACCCCTCACCCACCAGGGCAGCAGGGATGGGAGCATCTTCAGAGTGGGGCTAGTTGGGGTTTCCCGGAATCTGTTCAAGACTCACAAGGCTGACCCCATGGAAGGAGCACTACAGGAAAAGGGAATGGTGGCAGTGTGGGAAACACGGGGCCCTTCAAGGCCGGCCACCCCTATCAAGCATCTATCTCCACGCGGCAGTTTGCCGAAAGCCCCTAGACCAGAATCATCGGGTGGGAGGCCCACCTTCCGTGCAAGAGAGCCCTCGCGTTCCCGTCTATGGTGGCCTCCTCCAAAGGGCGAAGAGTAGAAGGATGCAGCGCTGCGGATCCAGCAGGGATAGGCGGGACCCAGCATCGCTCCCCAGCGGGTCATCATTGCCCCCACCCCCACCCCACCCCACCCCCGCGCCCGCCCCTGGGAGCTGGGTCGCCAGCCCCGCCCCGAGCAAGCTTTCGATTCTCCAGCAACTCCATCCGGCTACACTGCGGAGAGGGCAGCTGGTACCGCTGCAAATGGCGAGCGAGACAGCCCGCGCGCCGGCGCCCGTCGAACCCAACGGGGCTTGCAACTGGCGCTGCGCTGAGCACAGCGAACGCCCGGCTGAGCTCTTCTGTCGCCGCTGCGGCCGTTGCGTGTGCGCGCTGTGCCCCGTGCTGGGTGCCCACCGCGGCCACCCCGTGGGCCTGGCTCAGGAGGAGGCTGCGAGCGTGCAGGTGGGGAGATGCGGGGCGTTCGCCGCAGGTCTGGGCGGGCGGAGATTGCTCATGCGAGAAGCAACCGAAATAACGGACAGGTCTCACTGCCAAATCATGTTTGGACCTGGAAACTTAAGGGGGCCCTGAGGTCCCCTAGGTGCAAGCGGCGTACGATTCAGAGGCAGAACCCCGTGGAAGGACAAAGGTAGCCCATGCCACCAGTGAAAGAATGGCTGGGGGTACTGCTTGTGCAGGCTTAACGAAAACCTGAGGTTTACACAGCCCAGGGCTCAGGGACGCTCGCCTAACACCCAGCACCAAGGAACATGAGGCAGGAAACAGTTTAAGGCCAGTCTGTGCTACATGGAGAGACTACGTCAAAAAACCGCTTTGGAGCCGTGGGTGTAGAAAAAGAAAATGTTCGAGTGCTCTCCGCGAGGCCTAGAAACGCCTCTGAACACTGGAGTTCATAAAAGGCCATTCTCATCCGGGGCCTGAAGGCCTGTATTGTTTTGCAAACTCAGTAAGGCCCTGTTCCTGTCTTGAATAGGGTTCCTCCTTCTATGCAAACACCACGGCCCCCCCAGCAGCCAGGTGTTATGATAGTCTTAGTCCTGCTCACTGGTTATCTACCAGGCGGCCCTGGCTCTTCAGAACCGGAAGGCAGGTGAGGCGCAACCTTCTGTCTCCACAAAGCTGATTTTATTATTTCTATCTCCAAGAGGTTTTTTGAACTATGCCTGGCGGCACCTTTCTTTATGCTCTCCATTGACTTCAGGCCTGAGGAAGGACAGTGTGGCTAACAGAGTCCTGAGTTCATAAGAAATGCCCCTGCTTCCAGAACCTTCCTTTTGGTACCTATGAATGATCCTACTTCGAAATCCAAGGCTATTTTCCAGAGATGTGGTCCAAGTATCTCCTTCAGTTGTCCATTTCAGGGTTCATCTCACCGATGCATCCACATAACGCGCCCTTACTAAGTCCTCTACCCATTCACGGAGACATTCGTTCATCAAACGCCCGCTCGGAAAAACTCTTTGTGCCATGAGCCGAGTCCTAGGTCAGATCATCCCTCATCCCCTTACCTGGTTGTACTGCCTGGCTGGTTGGGGTGACTGTCAACAATGTCATGTGGTAAATACCACAGTAGGGAGTCCAAGGTGGTGGTCAGTGAGGGCCAGAAAAAGATGTGGAACTTGCTTGAGGCAGGAAGCTAAGGAATACTTTCCCAAGGCGGCGCCATTGGACATGGCCCGGAAGGGTAAGTAAGGTTTCCTGGGGTTCCTGCGACTGGAGGTGGAGGGTTCAAACCAGAAGGCTGGGGTACCCTTGAGCCACCTTGGGCAGTAGGTGGCTTGGGTGTCACAGTTCATGAGCATGGGGAAGCTAGGACCAAGGCTAAGCCCCTTCCCTGCCCCCGTTCCCCCTGCCAGGAAAGGCATTCACCACTGCTACACGGGCTCCCTGGGTGTTAATGTGGCAAAAAGACCTGTACTGAGCATGTGCTGTTTGTCAGGCAGTAGAACCTCATTTAGTCTCCCCGGCAACCCTGTCTGCAGGGAAGGAAATGGATTTTGGGCACAAGGCTGCAGAGCTAGGGTCATGACCCAGCTCTGTTCCTACTCTAGAGCCCCATGCTCCAGCCAGCTTCCTCGGGTTTCCAGCTCTCCCCTGGAAACTGCCACGCCCTAGTAATCCCGGTTGATTCAGGATCGACTCCCACCCCTGTTCCTGTGTTAGGCCCAGGCAGCAAGGGGAAGACAAGATGTAAGGAAAGCTAAGATGGAGAATGGCCAAAAGCAGGTATTTAAAAAAAAACCCAGCACCTTCTAAGAGCAGACACATGGAAAGCAGGCGACAGACATCCAGGCTGGCGGGAGGCGCAGAGGGCCAGAATCTGCTCACCGCCCTCCTAGCCACGTGACGAGGCAAGCTACCGGCTTCCAGAGCCTGGGGTGCCTCTGCTGGGAGAAAATGCAGGGGTGCGCGCCAGACGTGGTTCAGCGGGCAGCGGCGCCTACTGCCACGCCTTCTGGCCTGGTCCAAAAGAGACAGAAGGGACTCTGCAAATCGTCCTCTGACCCCCACATGCACACTGTGGCACCCGTGCCCCGTGGCCCCACCCTGTAAGTAAAGAAAACGGGATTAAGAAAAATAGACAAAGGGAAAGCGAGGATGAGAGCGTGAAAGTGACAGGGTTCTCCTTTCTCTCCTGACTCATCTCAGAAACGCATCCAGGACTGTTTAGAGTGTTTGGCGACCAAGAAGCGCCAGCATGCTGACAACATAGCCCACTTGGAGGACACCGGGGAAAGGCTCCAGGCAAGTGCGCCCACCCATCTTCCCTTCTCAGTGCACAGGGTTTGGTATGTGGCCCCAGGAAAACAAGGACCGACAGGTGTCAGCGCTGGCGGGGCGTGGGCACCTAACAGGTGTCAGGGCTGGCGGGCCGTGGGCACCTACAGGGGTCCTCTTTGAAACAATGCGAACTTAGGGATCTCAGTACATGGTCAGGCAGGAAGCAGGCGTGCAGGTGAGTGGCCCTGAAGGTCTGTGTTACCAACTTTGTGTCCGCAGCCTCTGCCCACACCTCCCCAGGCAGCAGACCAGCATCTTCACTTCACCAAGCCCGCCAGGGCTCAATCTTTCCTTACCAAGACTAGAGGGACTGGCCCTCCATCCTTCCATGCCCTGAACTGCCCTAAGGAAAGCAGAGCTATCTCCCAGAGCGGGCAAACCACTCTTAAGGGTTTTGGCCATGAGAATCGAGTCCAAATATAGCCCATAGATACACACTTTTCAGCCTTACCCCTTCATACAACGTTATTTGGTTGGTTGGTTGGTTGGTTGGTTGGTTTTTCAAGACAAGGTTTCTCTATGTACCCCTGGCTGTCCTGGAACTCACTCTGTAGACCAGGCTGGTCTCTAACTCAGAGATCCACCTGCCTCTGCCTCCAGAATGCTGGAATTAAGGGTGTACACCACCACCACTTGACACAATGTTATTTCTTTCTTTTATTGTGGTACTAGAGGTTGAACCCAGGGCTAGGCAAGTGTATTTCCACCTAGCTATACATTTCCACACTTCTTTTGACTTTGTTTGAGGGGCAGGGTGTGTTTGAAAATGTGAACTTTTTATTAAAATTGGAGTCTCTGCAAAATCTCCTTTAAAACACCATTTTATTGGTTTTCAGACATGTATATAATATATTTTGATCATATTTACCCCATTTTCCTTCCTTGTCCCCCTCCCACTGAGTCCCAACTAGCAATCCTGTATATATGTGGGTACCAGCAAGTTTAATTGAGGTTACATAAAGGAACATGAGTGATGAGTTATTTACAGGACCATGTGAAACATTTCTGTTTTGAGACAGGGTCTTATTAAGCCAACCAAACTGGCCTCGAACTTAATCGATCTCAGGCTGACATTGAACTCATGAGCCTCCTACATTGGCCCCCTGAGTATTTGGAAGTACAGACCTTAACCACAAAGATCGATTGATTGATCGATTGGCTGACTGAGAAGAGGTCTCCACTACACAAACCAGGATTACTTCAAACTCACAATTCCCCTGCCTCAGCCCTCTGAGTGTGAAACTGGCTTCCCATTTCCTAACATCTATTCTCGATCAGGGGGCTACATGTCCTGGTGTTCTGGGGATCTTCACAGGTCCATCGGTGGCCCTAGCTTAATTATTAGTAGTGACCCTCCCTCAAGTCTTCTGGGGCAGCACTGGCCAGGCTTGGCGGTGCACACCTGCAGTCCCAGCACTCTCAAGGCAGGAGCCCTGCTGAGAGTTGCCCTCTGACACACACACACACACACACACACACACACACACACACGTCCTTACAAACAGTGCACACATGTCCTCACACACACACATGTCCTCACACACACACATATCCACACACACACACACACACGTCCTCACACACACACACATACACACACGTCCTCACACACAGCACACACAGGCAACAACAGTAAATAAAATAGAAGTTTTTTAAAAAGCTAGGCTCTGTCTGCTGGGTGTTGGTGGCGCATGCCTTTAATCCCAGCACTCGGGAGGCAGAGGCAGGCGGATCTCTGTGAGTTCGAGGCCAGCCTGGTCTACAGAGCCAGTTCCAGGACAGCCTCCAAAACAATACAGAGAAACCCTGTCTGGGGGGGCGGGGAGGAAGCTAGGCTCTGGGCTCAGAAAGATAAACCATTTCAAAAGGACCTGGCAAGTGAACATTGAAAACTGTTCCCCAGGCAACAGCAGCGAGCAAGAGAGTCGGAGGAGTCGCAAGTGTCAGCAACTCTTTTTTTTCTAGTTTTTTTGTGTGTGTCAGCAATTCCTAAACATTTTGCTTTGCAACAATTCTAGAGTCATAGGAAGCTACAAAGACCCTGTAGAGAAATATCCTGTTCCTTCACTTGTGTGGCTGAGGGTTATTTCTATGACACAAAACTGTTCCTCAGTGCCCAGCCCAGAATCTGATAGTGTCTGTGTCAGCCCAGCACGTGGGATCTACAGGCAGAGCAGTTCTTTAAGTTATGATTATTATTTATGTATTTTTGTGTGTGTCTGTGAACCATGTGTCTACGTGGTTAGGACTAATATAGCTGATAATAGATCTTGAAATAGCATAGCAGTCAAACTCTGTATGTCTTTCATTTATTTTCATTTGTGTGTATGTGTCTGTGTCTTTGCGTCTGCTACATGCATTTGGGGGCCCATGAAGTCCAGGATAGGGCATTAGATCACTTGGAGCTGGAATTACAGGTGGTTGTGAGCCGCTAGACATGGGTACTAGGATCCAAGTTCGGGACTGTGAGAGCAGCTCTCTATCACGGAGCTATGTCCCCAGCTCTTCCCAGTTTTCACAGTGAGACGGGACAAGCATTGTGTTGAACACTGGCAGGTGTCAACAGCGGGCTATTCTGGATTTAGAGGCCTAATTTAGGCAAGTTAGTTAGTATGGAAACCTACCCATGGGGCTTTGTAAACAGACCAATAAAGTTCAGGTAGTCCAAAGTCTGTTGTGCAGAAGCCAGTGACCCAGCCAATCACCACTCCTTTCCAGGGGACAAAGTTGCGTTGTCAGTCTCCAGCCCACACCCTCAAAGGCTGTGTGCGTCCTTGTCGTGGCTCTCCAGGGACTCAAGGCATTGGCGTGGCAGGGGTAGCCTGCCTAGATGCAGCCTTAGATGTTTCCTCCTACTAGCGCTGGACATTGACAACACAGCAGCACCGTTCTCTCTGAATCCTGCATTCTGTGCAGTGAAGTTTGTTTGTTGTTTGGGGATAGGGTTTCACCAGCCTGTGTCTTCCAGGTTGCCCTCACGTGTATGTGGACACATGTGTTCATGTAAGTGAGTGTACATATGTGTGCATGTGATGGGGGCAGAAGTCAACTTCAAGTGTCTCTTTTTTCTTTTCTTTTCTTTTTTTTTTTAAGTACTTTGTTTACCGACGGGCAGTGGTATCCCACGCCTTTGGTCCCAGCACTTGGGAGGCAAAGACAGGTAGATCTCAGTGAGTTTGAGGCCAGCCTGGTCTACAGAGTGAGTTTCAGGACAGCCAGGACTGTTACACAGAGAAACTCTGACTCAAAAAACCAAAACAGAAACAAAAAGATTGTATTTATTATGTAGACAGTGTTCTGCCTGCATGCCAGGAGCGGGCATCACATCTCATTATAGATGGTGAGAGCCACCACGTGGTCTCTGGGAATTACTCAGGACCTCAAGTGTCTTCCTCAGTCACCCTCCTTAGTTTTTCAGATGGGCTTTCCCACTGAATGCAGAACTCCCAGCTTCAGCTAGAGTGACTGGCCTTGGAGCCTGTCTCCACCTCCCCAGAAGTGGGATTGTAGGCCCAACCCGCCGTCCCCTGCTTTTTAAAAAATTCATTTTTATTTTATGTGTAGGAGTGTTTGCCTTCATGTATGAAGGTGCGCCACAGGTGTGCAGTGCCCATGCAGGCCAGAGGAGGGCATCGGATCTTCTGGAGATGGTGTTAACAGACAATTGTGAGCCACCTCGTGGGTGCTGGGAACCAAACCCAGGTCCTCTGCAAGAGCAGCCAGTGCTCCTAACCGATGAGTCATCTCTCCAACCCACACCCAGCTTTTTTATGTTGGTCCTGGGATTCTGAACTCAGGTTCTCATGTTTGAGCAGCAAGTATTTAATTCACTGGGCCATCTCCCCAGGCACTCTGCTTTCTTCGTTTAAGTGATTTTTATTACATTTGATTTGTGTGGGGGTGTGGGTGTGAATGTATGTGTGCATGCCATGACTCATATGTGGAGATCAGAGGGCTACTTTCGGGAGTTGGGTCTCTCCTTCCACCACGTAGGTCCCAGGGATTGCATTCAGGTTGGCAGGCTCGGTGGCAAGCGTCTTTCCTCATTGAGCCACCATCAGCACTTAGTTAAACTATTTGTTGTTGTTGTTTTGTTTTTTCAAGACAGGGTCTCTTTGTGTAGCCTCGGCTGTCCTGAAACTCACACTATAGACCAGGCTGGCCTCGAACGCACAGAGATCCATCTGCCTCCCCCAAAAGGGAAGGGGAGATATATGTGGAAGGGGAGGCCAGGAAGGGAAGTATTTTATCAAGAGTCACATAGCAGGGGGGACTTGGGCCACCCGGGAACATAGGAAGGGTCTGGAGTTTCAGCTGGAGGAAGAGACCATGGTCCAGTAAAGGAACTAAACAGAAGAACCCATCAGGGGTGCTCAGACAGGAAGCCAGCCAGCCTGCAGTCAGTACAAACAGGGCCCAGGGCCTCCGGGGCTGAGTCTAGAACCTCTGCAGGTGTGTCTCCTGGGAGCTAGGGGAGGGAGGGACTCGTGGGAGCCACCCTGGGACACTGCCCTGCTGGGAGGAACACCCTGCTGCTCCCTCCCCCTCCCCCTCTGCCTTCCCCCAGTCTCTCCTCATGCTGACCAAGGGAGAATGAGAACCTCAGCCTTTGGAGCTGAGGAAGGCAGGAGACGGACATGAGGCAGAGGCTGGAATCAGACCCGGTCACCAGTAGGGGCTGCAATAACTCCCCTAGGCTCCTGGCTCTCTGCCTTCATGGTCCCGGAAAGCTACAGGAACAGAACCAGAGCATGGGTCTGTGGACATGAGGATGTAGCCGGGCGGTGCTGCTCACCTTGAACATACTACTGGCCTCCATCACACTGGTGGGCACAGTCACTCCTCTGCCCCCTAGGCTGGCCGTGGCCACTGTATCTAAAATGGCCTGGAAAGGGTCATCGCGCACCCTGGCTGCACCACCCACAAAAGCCCCCAGTAGGGTTGTCCAGTACACCCAGTGCACAAGAAGCAGCTTCCTGTCTTCTCCTCAAAGCCCCACCTCACCTCTGGAAGAAAGGTTTGGTCACAGAGCAGCCAGTGCCCCATGCACTAAATCCACCCCATGCACAAATCCACCCCATGCACAAATCCACCCCATGCACTAAATCCACCCCATGCACTAAATCCACCCTGCTATATGACCCACGCACTAAATCCATCCCATGCACTAAATCCACCCCATGCACTAAATCCATCTCTCAGGCTCCCTGATCAGGGCTTCCTGACTGGTCAGGTTTTCTTGCTGGTTGTCCACAGACTCTTCTCGACTAGCCTCTGCAGGGGCTTGCCCTCCACCAGCCCCACCCAGCCCAGGTCCAAACTCTGAAGTTTAGTGAGGAATCCAGCTTGAGTTTGACTCTATGAGACCCAGACTGGCAACCAACTTCCTTGTTTTTCTCTCTGTCTATCTCTCTCTGTCTCCCTCCCTCCCTCCCCTTCCTCCCCTCTGCCTCCTCTGCTTCCCTTTTCTTCCCTCCCCTCTCCCCCTCCCTCTGTCTCTCTACTTGCTCTCCCATCTCCCTCTCTTTCTCCCCCTCCCGTCTCCCTCTGCCTACCCCGCCCCTGCATCTCTGAGTACCACTCTGCATCCTGTGCTGTGCTATAGGCATCTCTGCTGAACTTCCAGTAGCTCCTCCTACCCCCCCACACACACACAGACAGTGGAGTGCAATGTCATTATTTGAGATATTCTTTGTGACAAAATGAATCTTCAGGGCTGCTTGGAACTTAGCTCAGCTGGAAGGAACAATGAATCCCGTTGGTGTCTCTCCAGGGGTCTGCCTGGTTCATCCCATTGACTCAACATGTGTTCATCATTCAAGGCTTTGGAACGTGTTTCCTCCTATCCACGCACCAACCAGGCCAGAGCTGCCTCCTTTCTGAGATCACACCGAGTCCGTCTCATTCAGTGTCGTATGGCTGTGGACGGAAACACATTTCCCTCCCTTCCCTTGGTCATTCATAAAGATATACCAATATCCAGGTTACAAATGTGGCCAGGCCATGGGCGCGCAAGCTGGCCCCAGAACCTAGCTACTGCTTAAATACTTTGGTAGGAGACACAGAAACTCACTTCCCATCTCTTGCCAAACCACAGCTGTCCTGTCAAGAAAGCACATGGAGGCCCGAATAATGGCACTGGCCTGTAGTCCTCCTACTCGGGAGGCAGTGGCAAGAGGGTCTGTGTTTGAGACCAGCCTGGGCTACACAAGGGTGACCTTGTCTTGAAAAAGAAGAGGGCACATCTCAGTGTCAAAGGGCTAGCCTGGCACCTGTAAGGCTTGAACTCATGACTAGTATTAGAAAAAAAGCAATCAAAAGCCCAGTGTCACGGGAAAGCCTGGCCTTCACAGGGCCCACTCTGCTGTGTAGGCGCTAAGGAAGTTTGCATGCCTCGACGAGCAGCTCTAGTTTTTAGACTTATAGATGCTTTCTGCTTTTTTCATTGTGTAAGTAAACATGAAGGCATTCTTACTTTCTAATGTTTTACATGTATGGTGTTTTGTTTGCATGTATAGCTGTGCACATGTGCGCCTAGTGCCCATGGAAATGGGTGACAGATGCTCTGGAAGTTACAGGGGTTGTGAGCCATCTTGTAGGTGACAGGAATTGAACTGATCCCCTTTTATAGTGCCAAGTATTCATAAATAAGGCTGACTCTACCAGTGGCATGACTTACATTCGCCTTGTGTGCAAACATGGCCATTATCTATTTCCAGAACTTGTTCATGATCTCAGCATGTGGGAGGCTGAGGAGTTGTGGGATGCCCACCAGAGAGAGAAGACTGCTCAGACATGGGTTTAAACCAATAAAAAATCCTGGTGGGTGGTGGTGGTGCACGCCTTTAATCCCAGCACTTGGGAGGCAGAGGCAGGTGGATCTCTGTGAGTTCGAGACCAGCCTGGTCTACCGAGTGAGTTCCAGGGAAGGCTCCAAAATAATATAGAGAAACCCTGTCTCGAAAAACAAAAACAAAAAAAAAGTCTTTATTGACCAGCCAGTGACTATACTGGATGCTTAGGATCCCGGTGCAGCTTTGTACATTTCTCAGGGTGAGCTTTAAAGCAAAAAAAAAAACATGTTCTGGGTTGACATACTTCAGTTAACAAGAACAGTTAGCCAGAATTGGAACTTCCGAAGCTAAAAAGCAAGATTAGTACATTTAGAGACTTTCCCAGAACTGTGGACTCGAATGGATCAGATCTTTTGTTTCAGTTTTGTCAGGTGGTAACTGTCTATGTGACCATGTTACTATGTTAGCATGTTACCATGTTTCATGGCTTGAATGCTATTTCTATCATGGACTCAGTTGTGCTAAAGTCTAGAACCCTGTTACAAAGTCAGGAGGATAGCTGTGAGTTCAAGGCCAGCCTGGGGTATATGTCAAGCACCAAGCCAGCCAAGGGTACATATTGTATTGAAAACAAACAAACAAAGAACCCCACCTAACAGGAATAACAGAAACAAATAGAAACTGAACTGAGAGCAGGAAGCAAGGCTCAGTGGCCTTGCTTCCTGCACATTGTTGTCCTTGTCCTTGTCCCTGACATATACTCATTCTCATGAGTACATGCCCACACAGACATGCACATACTATATTTTTAAATCAACTAAAAAAAAAAAGGCCAGGCCATGGTGGTGCACGCCTTAATCCCAGCACTCAGGACACCAAGGCAGGCCTGATCTACAGAGTGAGTTCCAGGACAGCCAGGGCTACACAGAGAAACCCTGTCTCGGAAAAAAAAAGGAAGAAAAGAAAGAGATGCCATTAAGCAGTCCCTGCCCAGTCAGTATTCAGTCCCCTTCTTAGCCCCTGGTAACAGTTCTCCACTTCCTGTCACTGTGCTTGTGTAGATATTCTTGTAAAGGCAGGTGTGTGTGTGTGTGTGTGTGTGTGGGAGCGTGTGGGAGTGTGTGTGTGTGTGAGCATGTGTGCGTGTGCATGTTTAATATGGCTTATTTTGCTTAGGGTTGAGTCTTAAAGTTTGTTTGTTTGTTTTTTGTGAGACAGGGTTTCTCTGTGGCTTTGGAGGCTGTCCTGGAACTAGCTCTTGTAGATCAGGCTGGCCTCGAACTCCCAGAGATCCACCTGCCTCTGCCTCCCGAGTGCTGGGATTAAAGGCGTGCACCACCATCGCTTGGCTAGGGTTGAGTCTTTTTGGTTCATTCATGCTGTAGCATCTGTCAAAGCACTGGATCCTGTTTCAAGGATATGCTATGCATTTTGCATTGTATGATTACATGATTTATATAATTAGCAAACTTGATTGTGCTATGTAGAAAACAGAGACTGACTAATCTCTATGTATAAATGCTTGCTCTGGGCTCAGTGCAGAAGTCTTCCATACAGGTGAATACATTTTCTGCCCATAAAAGGAACCAGTAGTTAAGGCTTTTTGTGTCTCTCAGTGTAATTTTATACTTTAGGTGCTGGAGATCAAACGTAGGGCCTCCTGGGTCAGGGAAGCTCTCTACCACTGAATTAACTCCAAGCCTTTATGCAGTGTTTGCTATATTTTTAGACATTTTGCTATCTGCCCCCTCACTCACTTTTACAAAGGATTTTATTACATTTTTATTTTTATTTTTTTCATACAATATATTTTGATCAAATTCTTTCCCCTCCCTCAGGTCCTCCCATATCATCCCAAGGATTTTGTCTTTGTTTTACTAGACAAGATCTCATGACGACCAGGCTGGCCTTGAACGTAGCTGGTGATGACCCTGAGCTCAGATCTTCTTGCCTCTATCTTTGGGGCACACCGCATTACCCTGTGTCTCCAAGGCATGGTGCATGTCAGGCAGCTCTCGGCCAGCTGTGCTCTGTGCCCAGCTCACAGAGGACCTTTAAGCCAGGCATGATACACATACTTGCAGGACCCAGGAAGGGAGCTGAGGTGAAAGCATTAGGAGTTAGAGGCCACCTGGGCTACAGAGAAAGACTTTGTAGTGGCTGAGAGTTCTACATCCGTGTCTGAAAGTTTTCTTAACACTTATTCTTATCTATTTTTTTTAAATTTATTTATTTATATGAGTGCTCTGTCTACATTTTTCCCTGCTTCCCAGAGGTGGGCATTGGATCCCATTATAGATGGTTGTGAGCCACCATGTGGTTGCTGGGAATTGAACTCAGGTCCTCTGGAAGAGCAGCCAATGCTCTTAACTGCTGAGCCATCGCTCTAGCCCCCCCCAAAAAAGGGGTGGGGACAAAGAGGGAAGACGGAAAGCAGGAAGGTTGGGGAAAGGCTCTTTAGGTGTGGTGTCACACACCTTTAATCCCAGCACTCAGGGCAGAGGCAGGTGACTATCTGAGTTCAAGGTCTGGCCTACAGAGTGAGTTCCAGGATAGCCAGAGCTACACAGAGAAACCCTGTCTCAAAACTATTTGCCAGTGCTTAGGAAAACTGTATTTTTGATGAGTGGCCTCTTGGTTTGACTGGACTCACTCTGCAGATATTTTCTGTTCAAGACTTCCTGGTTGGCAAGTGTATTGTCTACAATGAACTTTTTTTTTTCTTTAAGGCTTATGCAGACTCAAGTAAAGCCTGGCTGACACAGAAGTTCACAGAACTCAGATTACTCCTGGATGAAGAGGAAGTACTCGCCAAAAAGTTCATCGATAAGAACACAGAGCGCACCCTCCAGGTGTACAGAGAGCAAGCCGAGTCTTGCAGGGAGCAGATTGGGGTCATGGATGATTTCTCTACCAGGGTGTGGGTAACCAGCCTGGAGCCCAACCCCGTCCAGCTGCTGCAGGTACGGGCGTTTCCTGACCCTGAAGCTGCCACTGGCTACCCGTATTGCACCCGGGTCACTGTGGCATCGAACATGACTTTTACACACTGGGGAAGGGCACAGGGTTTCCCTGGCTGGCATGTAGACTTTAGTGCCATCACACCACACAGTCAGGAAGTATGCACTGTTATGATAATTAATATACATATATCTTAACGGCACCGGTTCCCAGGACCCCTGAGCTGCAAGCACTTTGTGAATTGTCTTAGTGTTTTATTGCTGAAGAGACAAAATGACCATGGCAACCTTTTGTCGCACCTGCTGTGTGGCCTGCATCCGAGAATGTAGCGAGGTGGTCGCGATAGATGACACAGAGACCGGTCGGTTGCTTTAAGAAAACTTTATGCTTCCCAAGTCAGCTTAGGAGGAGACCCCAGTCCGCTTAGGAGAGAGCTCTCAGGAGAAGTCTCTCTAAGAAAAAGGAGCTTCCCTTTTTAAGGACTTCTGCCATTCATCTACATACCATTCTTTCCAGACTTCTCACCCTCCTGGCTGGTGGTTTAATCTCCGGCCCCAGAATCGGGGAGACACCGCAGGGAAACAGGAAGAGGCATCTAGCCGTAGGGGGTGTGAAAGTCATGGTGTTTCAGTGAGCGAGCCCTTATCTGAGCCCTATCAAGAGCTTTAGCACTGAATTGTTTTCAGTAAACATTACACAGCTGCCTGCTCCCAGGCCGAAGGGGAAGTGAGTTTCTGCTCAAGGTCTGGTGTCCCCACAACCTTTCTTTTTTTTTTTTTTTTTTTTTTTTTTTTTTTTGAGGTAGGGCTTCTTTGTGCATCCCTGGCTGTCCTGGAACTCGCTCTATAGACCAGGCTGGCCTCAAACTCACAGAGATCCGCCTGCCTCTGCCTCCTGAGTGCTGGGATTAAAGGCATGCGCCACTGCCTGGCTGACCCTGGCAACTCTTACAAAAGAAAGCATTTACCTGGAGCCGGCTCGCGGTTTCAGAGGTTTAGTCCCCATAGTCATGGCAGGAAGCCTGTGGCATACAGACACGGGGCTGGAAGAGTGGCTGAGAGTTCTACATCCGAAAGAAGCAGCTGGAAGAGACTATCAGACACACTGGGCTGACAGGAGCATCTGAAGCCTCAGAGCCCACCCCAGGGACACACTTCCTCCAATAAGGTCCCACCTACTCCAACAAGCAGTGCCACTCTTTGATGACCAACTATTTGAATATATGAGCCTATGGGAGCCGTTCTTACCTAACCAATGCATGAATCTTAGCTCAGATATTTATAGTCGTGTAGTAAGGCTTCTGGTAGATGAGACTTGGGGCTAAGGGAAGTAGGACTCATTGGGACTCACACTCCGGTAGGATCAGAACCTGGGTCTAGCCAGGAACAGTGAAATGTGCCTGTAATCCCAGCATCTTGGAGGTGGAGGTAGGAGGGATCAGGAGTTCGGGGTCAGCCTAGGCTCCACAAATCCATGTCCCAGCGAAACAAGATGAAACAGAGTGGAACCCAGGTCTTCCAAGATTTGGCGCATCTGCCCAAGGCAGACCCTCCCAGTGGCCTGACTTTAACGCCATGGTCTGGTCATTCCCCTTGCTCATGCCCTCCTGGGGACCTGTGGGAAGGGAGGGGAGAGGGGAGGAGAGGGGAAGAAGGGGGAGGGCTACCCGCGGCTCTGTGTGCCTTATGCCTCAGGCCACTGCTCTGCGGTACAGCTCATCCTGACCACGGCGGCTAGGCAGAACGGGTCCTGCCTGGCTGGGGCTCTTCTCGGGTGTGCAGTCGAGGCTCCGTACGGCTTGCAGCCCCTGGGGCCATTCTGACCGTGTGCCTGTCCACGCAGGCATACATAGCCACTAAGCCGGACATGGAGCAGCACATGCGCCCCTCGGAGCTGAGCCACCCTGTGCCCCTGTCCTTCGAGCCCGTCAAGAACTTCTTTAAGACATTTATGGAAGCCATCCGGGACACTTTACAGACACCAATGGACACTCGCCTGAAGGAAAGTGAGTTGCCTCGTGAGTCGGGTGACACAGCACGTCTGGCAGGAAGGATTCACTTGGCCCGCACCTGCAGCCTGTCATGGTGACAGGACTCAGGGCGGTGGGAGCCAGAGGCAGCTGACAACTGAAGTCACACCTTTCCCCCACCATGCCCGGGCGGGGCAGTTAGGAGCTCCTGGCTTAGCGCTGCTCCACCCCCACCCCCCACTCCCACTACTTGGAATGCAGCACAGGGCCTGGAGCTTGCTGAAGAAGCCCTCTGCCGCTGAGGTAACTCCGTGGCTCTCTTAGTTCAGGCGAGTCAGGTAAGTTGCTCAGGCTGGCCTTGTCCTCCTAACTCAGGCTCCAGAGTGATTTCAGGTCTGTGCCACCACGCCCCATCCCAACCCACCCTTAACAGCCGAGGCCACCTCCACCTGTCCTGAGCCGGGGTCCTGCCTGCCGCTCTCCGGGGTCTGCTCACGCCAATAGCTTGCTAGCTCTTACCCCTCCTCTTCCGCCCAGGGCCGGCCACCATCCCTGCAGGTGGCCGACACAGCTGTACACACCCGAGGCCGTTCAGCTCCCTCCCTCCCTCCTCCTCCCTGTCACCTCACCTCTGCCCCACTCAGGAAGGGCCTGATCGCTTGCCTGGGGCTTCGTGAGATGGCCGAATGAGCCCTTCCTCAACCGCAGTAAACACCTGGAGGGTACAAGCGTTTGGGGTCCAGCCCTGAAGTGCCCACAAAACTTGTGGCACACTCAGGAGTCCCTGACACTGAACTTTCATCGCTCCCCTCAGCTGTGGTGGCATTCGCTCTCAACACTGGCCATGTGCCTGTCATGTGTCACAGTCCTCTGAGGCCGAGACAGACAGCACGTGTGGGGTCACGGGACTGTTGAGGCAAAAGAAAGCCAGAGGAGAGGGAGATGAGGAGCCATTTCAGAGTGGGCACTGAGGAGGCCTCTCTGAAGGTCCCGAGGCTAACGGGCAGGAAGCACAGAGGTGACTCACAGCTCTGCCATCCTTCTGTCCCCTTGCCCAGTGGTCTCCTAGATCTGCTTCCACATCTGCATGATGGAGAGGAGCCGCCCTACAGGGTTAGGTGATAAACGATCAAAAGCAGCTTGGGGAGGGAAGGAGTTATTCCACCTTACAGCTAACAGCCCACCACGGAGGGAAACCAGGGCAGGACCTCGAGGAGCGGGAGCTGATGCAGAGGCCATGGAGGACACTGCGCACCGCCTGCTCCCTATCTTGCCCGCCTGCTTCCTTCAGCCACCCAGGTCCACCTGCCCAAGGGCAGCGTCACCCACAGTGGGCTGGGTGCTTCCACAGCGATCACTAATCAAGAAAAATGTCCCCCAGTGCCAGGCATGGTGGCACACACCTTCAGCTCAGCACTCAGTGTGTGTACGAGGAGCAGAGGCAGACATCTCTGTGAGTTCAAGGCCAGCCTGATCCACCTAGCAAGTTCTAGGACAGCCAGGGATACACAGAAAAACCCTGTCGAAAGGAAGGAGAGAAGGAGACAGACAGAGGAGGGAAAAATGTCCTACAGACTCGTCTACTGTCAATCTGGTGGCGGGGTTTTCTCAGTCCAGGCCCCTCTTCCCAGATAACGCAGTCTGTGTCAGTGTGACAAAATATAACCAGGATGGAAGGCTCTGGGAATGAGCAAGAAGAAGGAGGTTCTCAGGAGTTGGGGAAGAGTCCCACGCGGGTAACAACACGACTGACTCTAGTGTCTGGAGAGGGGTGAGGCCTTCGCCAAGGTCACCCCCTTGTCACTTACAGGCCATGGTGATGAAGGGCAAGATCCAGGGACGGGCAGGCAGGGTCCCCAAGGAGGTTTTCCTAAGGGGTCCTCTTGCCAGAACAACCTCCCACCCTGTGCTCTTCTGAGAAGTAGACCTCTCTGCAGGCTTAGCTGGGCTTTGTGTGTGTGATCAATTTTGCCCGTTTGAGTACTTATAATCATATATTAATTATACATAAAAATAGGTTTCATTATGACATTTTCACACACACATATAATGTATTTGACCAATTACCCTCTCTCTCTCTCTCAGACTTACTTTTTATTTTACGTGTATGGATGCTTTGCCTGAATGTGTAACCACCACACGTACACAGTGCCTGCGAGGTCAAAAGAGGGCGGAAGATCTTCTGGAACAGACTCTTGTGAGCAGCCTGTGGGTGCTGGGAATGGAACACGGGCTCACAGCCAGGGCTCCAAATGGCTGAACCATCTCTGCAGCCCCCATCACCCTCTCTTGTCCCCTCCCATTCCGAAGGGTCTCTCCCTGTGCCAGCCCTCTTCTGCTTTAGTGCGCGTGTGAGCGTGAGCCTGATTTAGTTAAAGCTACTTACAAGAGTGTGGACAAGAACTTATTTACTAGAGTATAGGCATTTGCCAAAGACTGTGCACTGAAGAAAATGGCTCTGTCCCCAGCAACCATTAATTTCAGATCCTTGGGAGGAGGAGCATACCATGACAGGGAATTACAGTGCTGTTGACAGCTTTCTTTCTTTTCTTTAAATGATGCATGTGTTGTCTATCTGTGGTGGTTTTGTGCACCAGTGCAGTGTCTGTGGACGGGATGGGGCATGTGGTCAGTCTCCTGAACCTGGAGTTACAGGTGGTTCTGAGCCACCCAACACGGGTGCTGGGAACTGAACTCAGACCCTTGGCCAGAAGATCCGTGGCTCGGTGCTCCCCCCAAAAAAACCTTTAGGCTTCCTGCCATGCACCTTCCTGCAAACTCAGCACTGCTCTCTGGGAAGGCTGCCCCCGAGGCTCGTCCCTGCTGCCTCCAATGAGTGGCTGTGGTGTTGGGGGTCCTTGCCCTCCAAAGTCTGTATCTTCTTCTTCTCACACTTGCAATTCCTTACAGACATAAACTGCCAGCTATCTGGCCCCTCCAGCTCCAAGCCAGGCGCCTTGCTGAAAACCAGCCCTTCACCCGAGCGGTCACTCTTCTTGAAATGTAAGACCCCGGGGACAGGGGCGAGGGGGGATTAGGGGGTTGGGTGAGGGGCAGAGGTGGAGGAGGGACAGGAAATGAACCTTCCTTCCCACTTCCTGTTAGGAGGCTTGTTTCCAAACAAGGATTTTAAAAACATTTTTGCTGGGTGCAGTTCCACACATTTTGGTTTTTGGGGACCAACCCTGGCTGTCCTGGAACTCTCTGTAGACCAGGTTGTTCTTGAACTCAAGATCCACCTGCCTCTACCTCTCAAGTACTGACGTTGTTACATAGCCAAGGCTGACCTTGAACTCCTGATTCTCCTGCCTCTACTTCCCAAGTGCTGGGATTACTGGCAAGTTCTACCATGCCCAGCTTATTATTATTTTGGGGCATAGCTAATACACATACAACATGGTATCATGCTATACATGTTTTTTTAAGATTATTTATTGCGTATACAGTGTTCTGCTTGCATGTGTGCCTGCATTCCAGAAGAGGGCACCCATAAGTACTGTTATATAATCTGTTTTCTTTTACTGGAAAATTGTGAACCATCTCTTATTTGTCCCCCTAAAAATTTACAGAAGTAGGGGTAGAGGAAGCTCAGTGACGGGGTGCTTGCTGGTGTGTGTGAGGCATGCCTGAGTTTAATTCCCAGCATTACCAGCAACGAGAGAAAGAGCTAAAGAGAGGAAGACAAAGGAATTACTGTTAAGAAAACCAGAGATTACACACAAAAAGAAAACAGCCATTGTATCCAGAGATAACTTCCACCAGCTTACACTGATTACTCTTTCAGACATTTGAAAATACTGTGTTGATGGGGCTGGAGAGATGGCTCAGAGAGCAAGAGTATTAGCAGCTCTTCCAGAGATTCTGAGTTCAAATCCCAGCAACCATATGGTGGGTCACAGCCATATATAATGAGATCTGGTGCCCTCTTCTGGTCTGCAGGCAGACATGCAGGCATAACATGGTATTTACAATAAATAAGTAAAATCTTAGAAAAAAAAAAAAAAACTGTGCTGCCAGGCAGTGGTGGTGCATGCCTTCAATCCCAGCATTCACTCAGGAGGCAGAGGCAGGCAGATCTCTGAGTTCAAGGCCAGCCCGGTCTACAAAGCAAGTTCCAGGACAGTCAGTGATGAACAGAGACACCCCGTCTCAAAAACAAATAAAAATTGTGTCAGGTATTTTAAATTAGCACCAAGGTACAATCTGCTATAACTTTATGTAATAGTATAGCAACAGTGCTCTATTTCAATAATGCTCTTTTAAAGTTACCCAGTATCACATCAAATAGACATTAATTTTCATCAAGTCAAGCAGCTTTTACTCATTACTTCCAGTGATCACAATAACTATTAAAAGTTATGGTTACATTCTACTCTCTTCTCTATTCTTCACTATTTTGTTTTTCATTTTGAGACAGGGTTTTACTCTGTAGCCCAAGTGAGTTTCAAATTTACATCAGCTGGATCCAACTCTAAACCATGAATTCTGTTCAATTTGTTGAATTAATGAATAGTAGATTGCAGGGCGTTGATGGTGCTCACCTTTAATCCCAGTACTCGGGAGGCAGAGGCAGGCAGATCTCTGTGAGTTCGACACCAAGCCTGGTCTACAGAGAGTTCCAAAACAGCCTCCCGCCCTTTCCGCAGCTGCGTGCTCACCCCAGGGGTCGGAGGTGGTGGGCGGGGCCGTGTGGGCGGGGCCGTTGGCCCCGCCCCCTCCGACGGCCGTGTCTCCCGCTGTCTCCGCAGACGCCCGCACGCCCACGCTGGACCCGGACACCATGCACACCCGCCTGCGCCTGTCGACGGACGGGCTGACCGTGCGCTGCGCGCTGCTGGGCCGCCTGGGGCCGCGCCCCGCGCCCCGCTTCGACGCTCTGCGCCAGGTGCTGGGCCGCGACGGCTTCGCGGCCGGACGCCACTACTGGGAGGTGGACGTGCAGGAGGCGGGCGTGGGCTGGTGGGTGGGCGCGGCCTACCCGTCGCTGCGGCGCCACGGGGCCTCCGCCGCCGCCCGCCTGGGCTGCAACCGCGAGTCGTGGTGCGTGAAGCGCTACGACCTGGAGTACTGGGCCTTCCACGACTGCCAGCGAAGCCGCCTGCGGCCCCGCCGCGACCCCCACCGGCTCGGCGTCTTCCTGGACTACGAAGCCGGCGTTCTGGCCTTCTACGATGTGTCGGGTGGCATGAGCCACCTGCACACCTTCCATGCCTCCTTCCAGGAGCCGCTCTACCCGGCCCTGCGCCTCTGGGAGGGGGCCATCAGCATCCCCCGGCTGCCCTAGGCGAGCGCGCTTCCTTTCCTGGGCTGGGCGACAGGCTCTGCCCACGCAGCCGCGCGCCACCTGTGTCTGCGACACCACGCAGCGCCTAGAACCACCCGGCACACAGTAGGCACACAGTAAGTGAACGTTTCCCGGCGGAGGCACTTCATCTCCTTAAAGGTCCCCATTTGAGCCATCTGCTCTCTACCTCATGTCGTGGTCACCTCGATCCAGAGCACCCGCTCTGCGTCCTCCCCCCTCATCTTCTACACTAAAGCCAGGGTGAGCCGCCCGGAACTTAGCGCAGCTCGGCCTCTCGGAATTAGGAGGTTCTCAAAGAGGTACCAGAGCAAGCTGGCCTAGGTTCATTTCTCACCTGCTCTATCGTGCTTTGCCGGCCCGACCTCGCACAACTGCGGTGCGTCTTTTCAAACACTGTCCGTTCAGAAGCTGGGTCGCAGTTTCGCATCTTTAGACCGTTGTGCTCCCCAGCATAAATAGGAAAACCATCTCTTTACCTGTCTCACCCCTCGGGCTTATCTGCCCCAAGAAGCGCCCCCCGGCAAACTACGAGGCCTGCAAATACAGGACCTGTCATTTCGGCTGCTTTCTAAGGACATGTGTCCTTTCCTCCGTAAAGTGGCTTAGAAAGTACCCTTCCAGGCAACCACCGAGCGAGTAGCCTGCTCCTCACAGAAGGGAAAACTATTGAGAATGGCTCAAAGGTTGATTTGATGGGACAGAGCAAACCCGGGAGATGTATGCTTGAGATACTACATCTCTTCATTCAAAAAGACCAAGAGCTTTCCCACCCGCACCACCGCAGGGGCAGTCACACAACTTGATCCTCCGAGGTGACAAGTGATCCCACTGTCCAGTCTTGGAGCCAGCTGACTGCCCGAGATAATGGAACCCGAGCTGCAGTCAGGCCTCTGCTCCCGCCAGGCTGCGCTATGGATCCCACAGAAGGAGCTGCCTCCCTTTGTTGTTTTTCATCTACTTTCTTGGGCCAAACCTTCCTCTAGAGGTCTCTGGAACAGGTTTCATGCCCTTCACGGTGGGGTGGAATTGTTTGGAGAGTCTGTGTTTTGAGTATAAAGCATTAAGACTGCTTCTGGGCCGCGGTTTGTGCTAGTTTCTCATAGCTGTGCGGCCTCAGGCAGCACTTTCTACTCGTGAAACGTGGGCGAGCGCCACCTGTATCCTCCCAAAGCTAATGAAATTGCCTTAATAACGATGTAGTATCAGGCTAGGATCTGTTAGCATCTCACAACAGTCTCCCCTTGTACCTTGTCACAGTGCTGGGCCAAGGACACCCAGGTGAATGGCAGCTGAGGAGCTGTCCCCAACCCTCAGGGCTGTTCCCTTGGGATCCATGTTCCTGGAGGTAGAAAGCAAGTGTTTTTTGGTTTTGGTTTTTCGAGACAGGGTTTCTCTGTATTGTTTTGGGGGCTGTCCTGGAACTCGCTCTGTAGACCAGGCTGGCCTCGAACTCACAGAGATCCGCCTGCCTCTGTCTCCGGAGTGCTGGGATTAAAGGCGTGCGCCACCAGCGCCCAGCAAAAGCATGTGTCTTGATGCTTTGGTTTGTAGAATTTACCTCAAAGGTAAACCACAAATTATTTTCTCATGGGCTACAACCTGTGGCCTTGCACATCGTAAGCCTGTGCTCCCTGGAGCTATGCTCCAGCAGCTATTCCTTTATGAGAAAAAGGCTTAGTCCAGACCAGCCCCGAGGAAAATGGAGGACTGACAACTGTCTCAAATGACCAGTTCAAGTGCCAGCAAGTGTGGGGCATAAGGTTCCTGACACTGGGCTAGGCAGAGGCTGCTCCTCGGGTCTCAGACCTGGCGCCAGCCGCTGTTTTCTGGGCACCATCTCCCAGAGAGGCTTTAGGTTTCAGTCCATGTTGGCTAGTGACAACCATATTTTTAAAATGACAAGTTTTCTAATATATGTGCTGTTTAGGAATACTCTCTCTCGTAATTGTTCTTCAGAGGGGTCAAGTGCATAGCATACAGGCCTGGATAAGCCCTCATTCATCTGCCAGCCTGTTCTACAGAGTGAGTTCCAGGCCAGACTCCAAAGCAATTCAGAGAAACCCTATCTTGAAAAACAAAAAACCATTCATCTGCCATCCCCTGCAAAGCTCTCTTGAAATAGTCAGCTGGACCTAAATTGAACACTTCTGGTGATGGGGAGCATTTATTTTGTGGGGGCAGGGGACCTGAGTACCACGGTGCACACGTGGATGTGGGGATAACCGAGGGAAGTGGATTTTGTCTCCCGCCATGTGGGTGGTGGGGACTGCACTCGGGTTGTCAGGATGGTGACGGCCATCTACCTGCTGAGCCATCCCAGTGGCCCCTAAGTTTATCAGGGAAGCCACCCAATTCTCAGCTGTTTGCAGCCGCACAAATGCTGTGAAACACGTTTGTGCTCGTCCTTTAACGCCGTGGAAGCCTGCGGGGTCCCCAGCTTTGAGAGGGCTCAGGGGCTCCTCGCCTGCACTGCCGTCTCTTCCACCCCGAATTATACTGTCAGGGACACTGGCCTTGGGGTAACTCCAGACAGGAGTCCTCGTGGATGGAAGCATTGGGTGTTGTGAGGGACAGCACGGCGCTGATGTGGAGGGCCAGGCCAGATGTAGCATGTTCTCATCAGGAATGTTCTAGGGGGATGAGGAAGGAGGCTGAGAGACGGTTCAGCAGGCAAAGGTGCTTGCTTCCAAGCCTGGCAATCTGAATTCAATCCCAGGGTCCACGTGGTGGGAGGAGAGAAGCAACTCTTAGAACTTATCCTCTGGCCGGGATGGTGGTGCACGCCTTTAATCCCAGCAGAGGTAGGTGGCTCTCTGAGTTTGAGGCCAGCCTGGTCTACAAAGCAAGTTCCAGGACAGCCTGCAAAGCTACAGAGAAACCTTGTCTTGAAAAACCAAAACAAAGAACCCACAACTTGTCCTCTAAACACAGAGTGCATACCCACCCATAATACACAATGGAGAGGCTGGAGAGATGTCTCAGTGGTTAAGAGCACTGGCTGCTCGGAGAGGACCCAAACTCAGTTTCTATCATTCACATGGCAGCGCACAACTGTATCCGTGAGACTGAACACACTCCTCTGGCTCCTGTGGGCGTCAGGCACACACGTGGTGCACACACACATGCAGGTGAAACCATACACGAGAAAGTAGAAAACCTGAATCCTTGGCTTACCACTCCCTGAAGAACTCAGAAGGCTGGGCCCTCCTTCCCATCATCCCACTCCTACCAAACCATCACTTCCAGCTTCTGGGCATTTCCTAAGCCTGCACAGTTCTTCTCTCAGCCATTGCTCAATCTACAAGGCTAAACTAGCTGTAACTTCTAGACTTTCCCAGGTCAATTCCCCTCACCCCTTCTATAGTGACGGTCAGCTCGGCGGATCCTCTCTGGAGGTGTCATGGGCACAGCCGGCCCACAAGCACTTAAGCATGTCCGTTTTTCAACTGTGAGCCTGGGAAGTGCCTGGATATAAACCAGAACACCCCTCACTCCACCACCCCAAGAAAGGGAAGTCCTAATTCACAAAGAAACCTCTCAGGCTAACTATACACGGAGGGAGACTTGAATATATACTATCAAACAGCAATGATACAATAAGGTTGGGTTGGGCCCAGAGGTGAGGCTCAGTGGTTAGAAGCTCAAACTGCTCTTGCAAAGGGCCCCACCACCCATACCAGGCAGCTCACAATTGTAACTCCAGAGCCAAAGGATTCGACACACATGCACGTGCACACACACACCTTGAAGAGCAGCAGCTGAGCCGGGCATTGGTGGAGCACGCCTTTAATCCCAGCACTCGGGAGGCAGAGGCAGGCGGATCACTGTGAGTTCGAGACCAACCTGGTCTACCAAGCGAGTACCAGGACAGCCTCCAAAGTCACAGGGAAACCCTGTCTCGAAAAACCAAAAAAAAAAAAAAAAAAAAAAAAACAGCAGCTGAAGAGAAGTCTCAGCAGTTAAGAGCATTTTCTGCTCTTGCAGAAATCCCAGGTTCAGTTCTCATCATGTACATAGCTCATAACTGTAATTCTAGTAAGGGATCTGATGCCCTCTTTTGACCTCCACTGGCATTATACATATATACATAAAATAAAAATAAACCTTTAAAGAGAGAAAGGGCGTAAGATGGCTTGATAGTAAGAGTGCTTGCTGCGGGGGCTGGAGAGATGGCTCAGAGGTTAAGAGCACTGACTGTTCTTCCAAAGGTCCTGAGTTCAATTCCCAGCAACCACATGGTGGCTCACAACCATCTACAATTCAATCTGGTGCCCTCTTCTGGCATGTAGGCAAAACATTATGTGTAATAAATCTTTTTTGTTTGTTTGGTTTTTTGTTTTTACGAGACAGGGTTTCTCTGTAATGTTTCGGAGGCTATCGGTCCAGCCCAGCCTCGAACTCAGAGATCCGCCTGCCTCTGCCTCCCGAGTGCTGGGATTAAAAGCGTGCGCCACCACTGCCTGGCATAATAAAATAAATCTTAAAAAAAAAAAAGTGCTTGCTACACTGGGACCTGAGTTCAGATCTCAGCACCAAGTAAGAAGTCAGGCCTAGCAGAGACAGATTTCTGGAGTCTGCTAGATGCCTGCACAGCTAATGCTGCCTCAGATAAAGTGGACAGCGATAAAGCAGGACATCTGACCTCTGCAAACACAAACATAAAATGGGGGAAGGGCGATAGAGGTCGGCCAGTAAAAAGGAATGCTGCCAAGTCTGATGGCCTCAGATGGATCCTCGGGACCAACATTGTGGAGGGAGAAAACTGACTCCAAGTCATTCTCTGTAACTCTGCACACACACACACAGACACACACACACACACAAAAGAAACGTGGGCCCAGCGTGGTGGCGCACACCTTGAATCTCAGCACCCAGGAGGCAGAAGGCAATCAGATCTCAGACTTACGTCCAGTCTGGTCTACATAGCAAGTCCCATGCCAGCCAGAATATAGTGTGAGATTCTGTCTCGGGGAAAAAAATGAAAATGAAGACGAGAAGATACTTGAACAAAATGATTAACCTCAGCATTGACTCCAAAGAACAAAGTGACATGTGACAATGAACCTCTATAAAAAGCTCACACAGCTTAAAGAAGTGGAACAATGGAGTCTTTGTGCCTGGGCTTGTAATCGGTCACATGTGACAAGGCACTCTGGTGATCACGGCAGGGATCATTTCTACACCCCCCTCACACTGGAAACACGCAAGCTCCACCTCCACGCCCCACACTGCCGTCCCTTACACAGATGGAGACTGTTCTTCCACGGTTCATGTTCCCCTTCTTAACAGCTGCCTCACTGACCCAAGTTAGCATGCCCCTTCCTCGTCTGAGGACTAGCCATGGGTGAGCATACACCTTCCCCGTCTGAGGACTAGCCGTGGGTGAGCATACACCCCGTCTGAGGACTAGCCATGGGTTAGCATATACCCCATCTGAGGACTAGCCGTGGGTTAGCATACACCCCATCTGAGGACTAGCCGTGGGTTAGCACACACCTTCCCCGTCTGAGGACTAGCCATGGGTGAGCATACACCTTCCCCGTCTGAGGACTAGCCGTGGGTGAGCATACACCTTCCCCGTCTGAGGACTAGCCGTGGGTGAGCATACACCCCATCTGAGGACTAGCCATGGGTTAGCATACCCCTTCCCCGTCTGAGGACTAGCCATGGGTTAGCATACCCCTTCCCCGTCTGAGGACTAGCCATGGGTGAGCATACACCTTCCCCGTCTGAGGACTAGCCATGGGTTAGCATACACCTTCCCCGTCTGAGGACTAGCCATGGGTAAGCATACACCTTCCCCGTCTGAGGACTAGCCATGGGTTAGCATACCCCTTCCCCGTCTGAGGACTAGCCATGGGTTAGCATACCCCTTCCCCGTCTGAGGACTAGCCCTCCAAAGAAGGGGCTGGCTGCTTAGAGCCATGTCCCCAGGCCTCTGGTGGTAAGTGACACAGAGTGTGCCCTGAAGATCTGCCAAGGGAAACTTGCTCTCTCCCAACTTTACTCACAGAGACAGCAAGCCTGCCTCTGCCCACAGAGACTCACGCAGTCTAATGCAAAGGGACCAC